TCCCTGGAACCTGCCACTGCAGCTTGGCTAGAATCGCGCTGCCTATGTCCTTTTGGCACGGAGAAATCTGCAGTCTTTCCTTCTGTACTGTTTCAATGAACATTATTTAAAAAATTCAAGCATCCACCAGACACTTTACCATCAGAGGACTTTGCACAAACCACAAATATAAAGACTGCTCTTCTGCGGTCTAAGAAGCCCAGAAACAAGCAGCTGTTTCTAGCTATACTTCCGCTGGAACACTCAAACACCAGTCCCATATGCGCAAGAAATGGATGTACAAGTAAGTAAACAGAAGTGTATTTATTATACATATAGGCTCAGCTCTGCAGATAAATACACTGATTTCTCCAACTAGATCTGTTAGATATCACAGAACATCATCTGCAAAGCAAATAGTACACAGAAATCTAGCTGGATAAGCATAAAATGCCGTTTGAACAGGCTTAATACACAAAAGATGCATAATATATTATCGGTGCTCAGTAGGAGCAGGCTTTATAGGTGCGAGCAGCTCAAGAGCTGCAGCTAGCTATTTTAGACATTTTGCTGCAAAGGAGAAACAAGTTTGCTTTTGACAAGGGCAATAAGGTTCATCAGACAGATTCTTTCGTTGGGCAGCTGGATAAAGATCTTTCTGCATATCTGCTCTATCTCTGCAGGCATCCCCGTGTAGTCTACTTTGCAGTGAAGAATCTTTGGATACAGAGAGTACAGCGAGGCAGAGACAAACGCATTTTTCCCTGCAGCCAGATAATAAAGCAGGCACCCGAAGCTCCACACGTCAAGCGATTCAAGAGAAATAAAGGGGTCTGTGCTTTTGATCATCTCGGGCGCCATGTATGCAGGCGTTCCCTCAAAGGGCAGCATGTGTTTTTCAACCACGCCGTTCTCGGAAATAATGGAGCATCCAAAGTCCACCAAGCACGCACCGTGTCTTGACACGATGACGTTGGACGGCTTTATGTCTAAGTGAAAGACGCCCAGGGAGTGTATCCTTTTCAGTGTTTCAAGGATAGAGAGCGCAGTGTAGAGAATCTCCTGCACGCTCAGCAAAGTCGGCGTGTTGTCAAGAGAATACCCTGGGCAGTACGACAGAACAATGAAGAAAAAGGTTTCGTTTTCTCTCCACTCTTTTAGGTGCACAACCCCAGCCTTTTTCCCCAAGCGCAGCAGCGCTGCGATTTCTTTTTGGGCATGCCTGGTTCCGCGTTTTCTACACTTTCCCTTGTTTATGACCTTTATAGCCCAGGGCTCTGCGTCCTGCTCGGCCAAATACACCACAGCATACATCCCTTCGCCCAACATCTGCTTGAACTTGTAGTTGCCAAGCTTGTAAAGTGCTTCCATCTGTTTTTTTATTTTTGTATGGATAAATACAGCGAAGTGCAGAGTGCAGTAGAGAGTTTAAAAAGCACAGTAGAAATGTCGTTAGAAAAAGTAAAAGACTGCGCCAGCGGGTACACGATGGACACGATTGTGTATAAAAAAGAATCCATACCGTTTCCAAAAGAAATAGAAGAAACAGCGCAAGACGAAGGGCACGCGGGGCTGATTGAAGGGGTGTCCTCTGTCTGGGCAGCAAACCGCGGAAAGCTTGTCATCTGGAACTACAACACACACATGATAAACGAAATAGAAACAAAAACACAGAAGGTGCAGGCTGTCTTTGCAATCAAGCCAGGCAATGACATCTTCACGTCAAATGTGCAGCACTGCATTCTTCTGTTTACAGAGACGAGCGCCAGCATGATGTGTCTATGCAAAAGCCCAGTGGCGTACATCAGCATGGACATAACGGTAGACTTGCCTGTGGTGATGACATGTGTCTGCGAAACAGACGATGGCAGAGTTTTTATGGGGGGCGCAGATGGAAACATATACGAGTTTGTCTATAAAGAAAGCAGCTGGCTGAAAGGATACTCTGCAAAGATTGTGTCCCATACGCACGGAGTGATGGCACATATTCTGCCCTTTTTGTACGCAATGGGCCACAAGCCTGCAATAAAGCAAATGGTGACGACCTACAAAGGGATGCTTGTGCTGTTTGAGGACAACACCCTGGAGGCGTACGAGCTGAAGAAGTATCTAAAGAAAATAAGAACAGCTGATCTACCAGAGCTAAACACCAAACACCACATACAGCTAGTGAAGGTAGATAGAAGAAGCTACTCAGCCTACCTTATTCTCCCAGACGCAACCCGAATCTTTTTGGACGACAATGCATATGCTATAGGAAAAAGGCCCATGCCCTCCACAAGGATAAGATCGCGGCTGGCTACACACAGCACGATAAAAAACGAAAGATTTTACCAGATAGGAAAGAACTTGGTAAGCATAGGACAGAAGGACAGCGATCCAGTTATCACAATCATCATATCAAACCAAAAAGACACAGCAAGCCCTGAGAACTGCTGCACTGTCATAGCAGGCGCAGAGTACACGCACGTAGCTCCATCCGGGAGAAAGCATGCGCCAAATCTAGCAGAGAGTCTTATTGTGGGCGAAGAAGTTGCCTTCTTAGCGCCAAACAAAGTGGATCTGTACCACATTATGAACGGAGTAGAGCTGATGGAAAGAGCATGCACAAACCCAGAAGGGATGTTTGCATTCATACAGAGAAACGGGCCAGAGCAGGCGCTTATCTCAGCGCTGTATGCAGTGTCAGAGGGCGCAGTGTCTCCTGCTATAGACAGCCTTTTCAAAAAAACAGAGGGCCTCCAGAAGAAGTCCATCTCAATGTGTGCAGCAACTTTTATCTACAAAATATGGAACGTTGACATATATGCCATACTCAAAGAAGACATAGGCATAGACGTAAGCGAGTACATTGAGGAAGTAGACAGCGCAATAAAAAAAACAAGAAAGCTGAAGAACTTTGTTATCAGAGAGTGCACAAGCATCAATGC